ATAAACTCAAAGAATTTCACCTTCAAGCTGCTTACAGAATACCTAGATACCTTAAATCAAGGCCTAGTAAGGATCCTCTATATAGAGTATGAAAATATACAAACTAAATGATATATTTATACAGATTATGCACGCTCGTTAGTGGATACAAGATCCACGGCTGAATACTATAAATTTTTAGAAGGAAATCTCAAAATATAGAGGAGCAATAAATAAAATGTTTTAAGATCTAGCATTGATATATGAATTTAGATATATTGCCAAAGGAATCTATAAGTTTTTGTGCATCAAATTATTTTGGAATATCAAAAATCAAATGGGAAGAACCACTGAAGATATACTAGGACAATAAATCTACCATTAATATTGCTCATAATTTAAGTACAATATGATTGTACCGATCATGTGGAGGTAAATAGATATTTCATAAAAGAAAAACTAGAAAGTGGGTTGATTTAGTTCATATGTGCCAGGTCGATTTACTTCATATGTGCCAATAGAAAATAAACATGAAATGACAGGTTTATATAATTTTGTTTGAGTGTTGAAGGATTATGAGACCAATAAGTCAACCGATATTGGTAGGAATCCTTGAACACAGATTAAAGGTTTTAAATATTGGATTGATCTTCTTATGGCCCTTAGATTGCAATATATGTACCTTCTCTTCCAATTCTAACCATCAGCAACTCCTGGGGATTTTTTTTCCCTTTTTATTAAAATAACTTTGATTTATTTTTGCTACAAACATTTTAGAAAAATCTATAAATACTTCCACACTGTACATAGAATAAAAAAATAAAATTCAAAGAAGCTCACTGTGTTTTTCTACCTTTTCTATATATATTTTACGAAAATATCTTGGAATTATATTTCAAATCTACTTGAATTGTATCAAGCGAGATGAGAAAAACTCAAATTCAAAGTAGTTTTCTCTATTTTTATACTTATATATATATATAATTAATTAATGAAATTATCTATTTTGTGCTATATCTCAAATCGACTTGAATTGTATTGAGCGAGATAAGGAAAACTCAAAATCAATTTCTAGTATGGAATGGAAATCGAATTCAATTCAAGTCAACTTTAGGATGAGTCAAAGTTGAGTGAGTTTAATGTTTCTTTCACCAAGCCTATGTCGCAAAAAGAAAAACAACTGTTTCAACTAAAACTGACCAAACTTTGTAGCCATTCAATAAGTCAATCGATACAAAAGAAAATCTGATAGACTATTTCATCTATATTTCAATATATTCTTTATGTATATATTAGATTGTGTTCATTTCCAAAATGTGTTCGCAAGCAGATGTGCAACGTTTTGCAACAAGGAAACCAAATTTCTAATTTGTGCCACAAGGTTAGCCAGCCACACATTGTGGTTTATTGAATTCAGTAGTAATCAACAAAATGCACACTGAAAAAGAATGTATCATGTAAATATATAATTACTGTCAAGGAGAGCACATTAAAAGTATGGCATCTAAAACATTCCTTGACTAATTAAGAGGGTTACTTTTCCATGCCGTTGCAATGCGAATGTATGATTAGTTTAGAGAAAATAGCTCACCTCATTTGGTACGACATCCCACAAACCATCGCTAGCAAGAACCAAGATGTCTAGGTCTTTACCAACTTCTTCTTCCTGTATAAGGAGTTAGTTTAAACGTTTCACAGGTTGACGAGGACTGGAAATACAATAATTCTGGATATAACACTTACTTTAATTCCATAATAACTATAGGAACAAACTGCTGATTTTATTGCATTCCGTAATTTATATTATCACTATCCCAAAATGAACCATGCATCTCCATTAATTTATTCATCAAAACAGGACAAACCGATTACAAAAAAAGATTTGATATAAGAAATAAACTAACTTTGCTAGTGTGGCTCTAGTTAAGGTGAAGGAAGATAGTAAGACCATCAAAATAAACCCATCTGCAGTGATCTTATTGTTAAATCATCAGCACCTAGGCACTATGAATATGACAATATATTCTGCACGTTTCCAAATGCAACTTTCAGATGAATATATTCAGTTCATCCTGTATTTATCTAAGAGCTTTTTTTTCATTGAATCAATAAAGGTATAAATAGTGCATAAGTATTACAGAAAAGAAGGAAAACCTATAAGGATATATACCAAAATCCCTCCAAAATTGGGTAGGCCATAATGACAGCCCCCCCAAAATCTCTCCCTATTTAGAAACAATTTAAAGGATTCAATTAAATATTTTATTCTCTTGAACTTTTAATTGGGGTTGATTAATAAGATTTTAAAATAGGTTTTTACATTTAAATTTCTCTCTAAACCTCAGATGACTGGGCCAAAAAAATAAAATAAAACAAAGTCTAATTAATTGTCATGATAATGGACCGTTAGAATTGATCTAGTGAGAGACCTTAATTATCCTAAATCACAAAACCTTATATAACACAAAAAAGTTAGAGCTATTGCTTTGCTCTCTATATTCTTTGCAAGATTTTTAGCTTTATAAAAATAATCATATTAAGCTTTAATAATATTTAGTTTTTTTTAGCTCCATAAAAACATGTTTTTTTCCCCAATAACTGATGTAGACAAAGGGGGGGTCAACTCATGTCCAAAATAAATCAATTTTGGCTTCCCCCAAGTTTACAAGCTTAATCAAATTTGAGCTAGAATTTAGCTCATTTATGAGCTGATTTTTAGTTCACTTATTAAACTAAGGGTTAGCTCATTACTAGCTAAGTTTTAGTTCATAGTTATCTTTTATTTAATGTACTTTTTATTATAGTTTTTAATGTCTTCATTTAAGTCATCCCCTCCCGAAATCTTGCGAGCTCTTTCCAACCTTTCGTCTTGGCTTCTAACCTCTTTCGTCTCTCCGCAAGTGCCACTCCATCTGTATCTTTCGTCTCTAAGTGAAGCAACTTTAGGGTGTCGTCTTTAATTTTAAGTTTGTAAGTCGTTGTAATTTTGTTTTTAATTTCTAAGTCGGTCTTAGATTTGAAATGTAAGAGTTTGTTCTTCCTCATCTTTAGTCCATTCTTCTATTTTAGTGTGTTAGAGGGTGATCGGGTGCCTCATCTCTTTTGTGTGAGCGAGGGGTATAGGCTCCCTATATTTCTTGCCCCCACCAATAACCTTTTACACCACCTTACGCCAACATTTGTCTCATTAATAGTGCATAATTTATTCATAAAATCTACCAAAACTTCCATGACAATGTTGTTAATGAAATTGATCATCTTATTCCACAACAAATTTGACTTAACTGCAGAACTCCAATTTGCCTCTCAGAAACCTTTCTAGAAAGATTTAATGCTTACTCAGCTCTCATATTCCACCACCTTATACTTAAGTAATTATTTAGTTTGATTCTTTTCTTTATACTCCTATGATATACATCCAAAATTACTACCATATATTAAGTGGTCAAACTATCCTCTAGAGTCACTTAAGAATATTTGCAGAAAAAAATTCTTTCCTAAGTACAAAAAAATAACCATTTGTGATTTAGTAGTTCCACATTTGCAAGTAATTAAATATTCTTCTCATTCCTTAAAAGTATTTATTCGCTATTTCAAGATCATAGGTTGTTGTGAGATAAAGTATAGCTTCTTGCAATTCATTTTCTATCTCCTACTCCATATCTGCCATGAATCCTTTCATAGTTCATTCTACTAGAAGTTATATGCTCATTTAACTCAACTCCAATAATTTTTTTTTCCTCAAGTATATGATATTATAGCAATTTATAAATCACTTCCCAAAATCTAATTTTTAAGAACTATCTTCTAATCTAACTTCTAGTAGAATGACCATAAACACTAAACACATTTACAGTATCATCACTAAAAATTATTTTAACAACAATCATCATATCATTAATCATATTGGCTTAAACAATTTATCTTGCAACTCTCTATCCAGTACTATCCCAACCCTATTTTATTATTAGCATTTCAAACATATAATAATTTATAATCTTTGTCAGTGTCCTTAGATTTATTCCCTTTTTCATTTAGTTTTCTTATAAATATATATTTTTTATTCTAATTATTTTGTATCAATTGTCTTATCTTCTTCGAAGTCTATAAATTCCAGGTAAGAAATCTAATCTAAGTTCTTAAACTAATCAGCCTTTACTAAGTTTTCAAACATGTTATAACACACATATATATAGTTTTGAGTTCAATCAAATTAATTTTGAGCTAGCCATCCTCAAGTCAAAGCAAACAAATTTAAATTTTGAGTTGAAAATTTTTTTAGAGTTTTTCAAGCAAATTTTGAGTTTCCAACATAGATAATAACATCCACCAGAAACTCAAATTTTGTCAACTCTTCTTTGGAAAAAAATTATGCATAAAACTGACCAAATTTGATGCGTGCAAGCAGCTTGCCATACTCTACATAGTTTCGATGTTTTACAAAATACAAATGACTCAGTTGCCAAAATAAAAAATTATATAATGAAAAACTAACCTGAATGTCAGGATGTGCCACAACATACTGTTTTAGCAAACGATTACCAAATGCACGTGACATTGCTAATACACCTCCTACTCTCCAAGTCCCTGCAGTATGAATTGTTAATAATCACGAAACAACCATCACCAAGACATTCAGTGAAATTAAATTAATAACAACGCAAAGCAATCCATTGGATTTCAATTACTCAATGAGGTTTTTATTTAAAACTTTTGACTAAAAAAAGAACTTCCCCTTGAACAATGCAAACAGAATATGGACCACATGTAATGCTGACATTATAAAGAAGCCAAACACATCCACAGCAAGAGGTAATTACCTGTCCACATTACTACTCCTCCCGCATCCTCAATTCGTTTGCGCTCATCAATTCTGTTTGGCTTGTGATCGTCAGAAAGAGGTACAGCTATCAGCAGCAATGAAAAACAAAGAAAGTAAAAAATATGAGAAGCTTGAAGATCCAAATCAGTTAAATGGTTATGAACTTATGATAAAATTCAAGATGCCGTCATATAGAAAGGAAGTTGAAGAAAATTTATGCGCAACATTAGGCAGAACACCAGTCAAATCATTTTCTAGATCACCAGAAAACTGTTCGTATAGGAAGTTAGCTAGAACTGCAAATTGTCATTATAAGATCGCCCGAAATTAGCTTTCCCCAACCAAAATCATGGAATAATTCATCATGCAAAGTCTGAAGAAAATTGCATGAAATTCAAATCCGATGAAAAAAACTTGAAGTTTTTTGGGAAAGTCCATTCTGTTTACTTGGTTTTCACATAGCACAAATATCCAATAACAATTACCATTAGCCACAACTTTTACAATCATGCTTCATATTTTATTCCTTGACTTTTTTAGTCAATAAGCTCGTTGGAATGTTCATCCATAGCAATTGCAGTGTGTAGGTGACTTTCTTTTAGAAATTCATTCATCAAGAGGCTCTGAAAAATGCCATGAATATAAACAAATGGAAGTTCCAAGACACCATCTCAGAAATGCATCCAAATACAGTTAAGAAAATTACATTAACATAAGAAACTTAGAACCTTTTCCATCTTTTGATATCACAGCACGAGAATCTCCAACATTTGCTACAAATAAACGGTTGCCAAGCAGAATTGCAGTTGAAGCTGTAGAGCCATCATCTCTGAAAGTATTGATTTGAACATCCAAGAAATCGGAATCAGTCTTTTGATATGTTTCACCTGCATTTTTTCTAAAAGGAATAAATCAAAGAAGAAAACAATTTTATATAAAAAGATTCACATTCTAAAAATCAAGGGAATTTAAAAAAAAAAATTTCAAGCTCACGTATAGCTGTTTTTGTATCTGCCATAAACTTTGGATGTCTCAAAAGGTTTTCAAATAAGTGGTCCTTCAAATATTCAGCTGCACGTGAGCCACCATGACCTAAGGGGTGACGATAAGAAGCTAAAAGTATGAGAAGCTAATAATATACCAAGTTAACGAAAATATATGAGAACAAGAGCAGGGAAAAGGCAGACCATCGAATACTCCAAAGAGAAAAACTGTTTTCCCATCTATTTTGGAGTTCTTGATGTCATAGAAGTCTTCCATACTTGCTCTCTTTCCTCTAAAGCTCGAATATCCACCCCTCAATCTTCCATCCTCACTATCAAGCAACCAAGAAAACCCACAAAATCTAATATTTCTTAGAGTCCCCCTTTGAACGGCATGTAAGAGGTAATTCAAGGAGATTCAAATAGTTGGAAAGAATAATAAAATATAATACATACAAAACCTCATTTTTAGTTTTACTAGCGGCGATGTTTGGCTATGAAATCAAAGAAAAATCTAGTCCTGCAGCATTTTTTGGAGTATCATATGTTATCACGACAATTTCCAGGGTATATCAGATCGGAATGCCAACGCATTATCTTATGGTTCAAGAACACCATCAATTATTTTTTTAACTCATCTGATGTTGTAATTAATTTATCTTCTACAGGAAAACATCAATTTAAGACCAAATCAAGAGCACCTAAAAGATAGGATTGAAGAACATTGATATTAATTTAAACCGAACAAGATACCAATGTAAAGAACTGCATGAGACGAATTTCCACTCAAATTCAATGTTTTTTTCTTTCAAATGTCAGCCAAATATCCAAGTCATTCAAGAATAGTTGTGAAAGAAACCATTATTACTGGAAAAGAGACACTGAACAAACAGAGATTAAATAGCAGATTAGCAGATAACAAGTTCAAACAGCATTTCAAAATTTTAGCAAACCGATTTGCAAAGAATGTCATCATCATAAGAAATAACCTTATCCTAATTATTTAGGGTTGGCATCCAAGATGCGCTTACAGGACCTAAGAACATGCTTCAATAAAAGCTGCAAGACAAATCCAAAAAAAATTTAAAAATAATGATAATAATATTTTTTTGAAAAGAAATTGTTTCAAAATTTCTCAAACAAGGACAAATAGTATAAGATATTTTGTAAACAGGGGCAACTAAGGCTGACTTTATACCAGTGTTTCAATAAACACTAACACTGCTACTAGGGTTTTTTGTGAAACCTGATATTACTACTAGAGTTTGTTATGAAATCATAGCATAACATTATGATATTACTATTAGTAGTGATACATCATCAAAAAATTATCTTGAATGGGCACGAATCTTGATGCAAAATCAAGTCGGAAACTTCCGAAATTAAAATTGGGACCATCCGAACTCCGATTTCAGCAAACTTACAGTCAAATTGAACGTCTCGAAAATACGAACCCAATGACACCAAGTCCAACCCAATTTGAGCAAAAATGGGTCCAAATCAAGGGTTAGAAGCATTGTTCGAAGCTTCGAACCACACCACCTGAGGCCCTGAGCTCAGCCAGCCCACCTGAGGCTCTGAGCTTCGCCGGACCACCACTTGACGCCGTGAGCTCTGCCGGACCACCACCTGACATCCTGAGCTCCGCTGGACCACCGTCTGACGCCCTGAGCTCCACCGAACCACCACATGACGCCCTGATCTCCGTCGAACCACCACTTAACGTCTTGAGCTCCATTAGACCGTCAATGAGCTCCGTCGGAGCACCGATTGATGCCCAAACTTCTGTCGGACTACCACTTAACACCCTAAGTTCTTTCAAACCACCTACAGACACAAGGGTTCTAGTAGCTGATACCTTAATTTCCATGTTACGCCAGACTTTTGCCAGACCACCAAGTGACGTCGAACTTTCATTTACCCTTGACATCAACCATACGGTTGATATTTGTAATCTGATCGCCCTCAAAGATGAGTCAGCCCACTGTAACCTACTCGAATTCTAGTGGAATCATTTTCAGCTGGGCCAGGCCCCGTGATATTTCCCCTTTCCAGGATTTTCCACATAAAAAATCTTGTGTTCACTGTGTGTGAGCTAAATATCCGTGCAATGCTAAGACGTAGGACTCTAACTCTATCGCCGCGTATATTCTAGCCCGCAACAAGTAGTACAACCGATGTTTCAAAATTAACCCTAGAGTACTCATAGGATTTCTAACAATCCTAATACAAGGCCAGGATTAGTTGGTCTTGTTTGTGAAATAGAGTAAAATTTTTGTCCTTGTAAATTTTGAAACTATTGTCACTTATTATCAAGAGACCAAAATATAGGGAGTTTTAATAAATATCCCAAAAACATTTCACCAAAATACCAAACTATTGGGAGTTTAATACAAATATCCCAAATAAAAAATGTAACATTGCATTTGAAAGGGCATTAAAAAAAATGATACAGTAAAGGGGAAAATCTCTTTAATGTGTCTTATTCAATAGAGTAAGTATAATATTCTAACAACCAAATAAACATATACGGCTTACTAAATACAAAGAACTTTCCTATCTTGACATTTTCCTAAGCTAACAGATATATATTTTTGGATGAGTTGTAATACTTACAAGTTCGAAGCCTAAGCGAGTTTAAATCACATAAAAAGTACATGTTAACAAAATAAAAGACTTTTCCAGTTATATGGGGTACTAATTGGTCTAAAATATTTTGCTCCCAAACCTAAGTACAGTTTACAGACAGGTCATACTATAAGTCCATTTGCTCGAGTCCGGTGAATAACCTTACTAGAAGGATTGTTCTGCCAACAGTCACCATTACCTCAGTAAAGTTCAATATATCATAATTGCATGCTACATGACTGCTACCAAACTGAACAGATCTCAATACCTAGCTAACAAGCTCACAAGATCATCGACCACCCATTGTCATGTTGTTACTACCTCCTATAAACCAGCAAAAAGTATTTTAAATGATCTCAGCCTCCTTTCCTCATCTACGTATTGAATAAACTACTTAATAACAGATACAAAACAGTTACATTAAAACATTGGAAACGTTCTCTCCAGCTGTCAATTACACGTGTACTAATATCATTAGTTAGCAATGTCTATAAATACATGTATCTGACTGTATGAGAAACATATGAAAGAATTCCCTTGGCATTCTCTTCGCATGTTTCTGTCTCTGCGTTATATTTCTTTATAGTATCAAAGCAGGCACTAGTCCTCATTTGTTTTAGTTCTTGATTTTTTTCTTCTCTCGCCATGACGAATTCGTCGTCATCGCAGACGGCTGAACAACCAGTCGTCTCGCTTGTTGATCATTGCAGCATTGGCATCTCTCAAGTTTGTCATCTTCAACATCAAGATTATCGTTCATACCCAACTAGCCCCAGAAAATTATTCTGTCTGGAGATCTCAGGTGCTCAAACTCTTCAACGCTAATGGTTTTGCTAATTTTCTTCTTCCTTCCGTTTCCCCACCACCTCGTCTTCATCAACGTCAAGATGGAACCACTGAAATCAATCCCAAGTACAATGAATGGATTCTCATAGACCAAAATCTTGCAGCGGCTATATGTTTGACTGTCTCTGGCAATTCTTCCGTATGTGATCAATCTTGAGACCCGCTCGGCCATCTGGACAACAATCGAGCGTAGACTTCAATCCTCGAACAGATCCCGAGTTATACAACTAAAAAATGAGCTTCATAATATACAAATGAAGAATCTCACAATGTCACAATATCTTATAGAAATCAAGAATATAGTAGACAATATTGTTGCGGCAGGCACGACGATTGATCCGGAAGACATCATACTATGTATTCTAAATGACCTTCCACCTTCTTATCAAGCCTTCAAGATGTCAATTCGCACAAAGCTTCATCCTATAAGCCTAAATGACCTCTATTATCTTTAAATTAGTGAAGAAATCAACATTGAAGCTGAATCAATAAAGCAGGTTTCGATCACTAACTCCTCTACAGCTTTATACTTAGCGAGAGAATGCGGACGTAGAGGGCGTGGTCATTCTACTCCTCAGACAGCAAAAACGGCATCACCTATCAAATTTGCAATAAAAGAGGTCATTCGGTACATAACTGCTGGCACAGGCTTAACAAAAGTTACAATCCTCCAGAAACATACCCACCAAATTCATCTTCCTGAGCACTTGTTGCTGCAAATGAGCCAATCAATCCTAATTGGTATCTGGATTTAGGTGCATTTGCGCACCTAACAAACTCTCATGACAATCTGTCTTAAGCAGAACCATACAATGGCAATGTCAACATCATTATTGGAGATGGTCGATCTCTACCAATAGCACATTCTGGGAATGGTATACTACCTACTCCATACTATAAGCTTCAAATCTCCCCACTTCTTCATATACCAAAACTATCACACAATCTCTCATCAATTTCAAATCTAACTAGAGACAACGATGTATGTGTTTGTTTTGATGCATCAAGTTTTGCTATCAAGAATTTGAAGACAAGCAAAACTCTTTTATCGGGACCAAGCCATAAAGGCATATATCCCATACGTTTAGCTGCATTCTATGTTTCTCAACATGCACTAGCTACCACCAGGCAGGCATCTTCCTTTTAGCATCAAAGACTTAGTCATCCCCATTTGCATACTTTTCACATTGTATCCACAAATAACAAAATGCTTCATATACCTATGCATAGTTCTGTGTGTACTCATTGTAAGGTCTCCAAAGGCCACAAATTGTCTTTTCCTCATTCTACAACTAGATCATCTCAGCCTCTATCTCTTATTCACTCTGATGTTTGGAGTCCTTTCCTAGTTACTTTAAATCAAGGATTCAAATATTATGTAGTCTTTATAGACGATTTTCCAGCTTTACTTGGGTCTTTCCTATGCAATACAAATCTGAGGTGTATTCTATTTTCATTAAATTCAAATGTTTAGTGGAAAAACAAACATCTCATCACATCAAATGCCTAAGGTCGGATGGTGGGAAAGAATACATAAACTCAGAACTTCTTACTTTTCTCAATCAACAGGGCAATCAACATCAAGTTTCATGTCCTTACACCCCAGAGCAGAATGATTTGGCTGAAATAAAGCATCGCCATCTCATAGAAACTACTCGGACCCTTATGCAAGCTGCATCTATTCCTCATTCGTTTTGGCCTGATGTGCTGCTTACGGCTTCCTATCTCATAAATAGGTTACCCTCTAGAACAACATCATTTCATTCTCCTCTTCAAATACTATATCAACAAAAACCTAATTACTTTATTCTAAGAGTTTTCGATTGTGTATGTTTTCCTTGGCTTCCACAAAATTAATGTAACAAGCTAGAACCACGCTCATTGCACT